AATGTACTAATGTATTATAAACATTTTGTATGAAAATAGTAATTTTCTTAAGGCATAAATATGAACTTCTCTTTTTAAATATTAACCCAAACTAAATAAAACTAAATAAAAAATATATGTAATACTTTATTCATGTGTAATTTAAATATCAAGAATCATTTTATTAAATATAAATTATTTTTCTAATTTCTAATAATTATTTCATATTGTACATATTTCTTTTTTATTCCTTTCTTATATCAAAAACATGCTATATATATGCATTTTGAATTATTGGGATGTCAGAAAAATCATGATGCATTTTTGCTTGAAAAATAGAAAAAACATGTCCTGATTTTTCCAACAAACCAGTGCATTCAGATTTTGAGACATTTTTAATATATAGTTTTCTGAACACTGAGCTTTATCATGTGAGTGGCACATAAATGATGAAGGTAGCTTTCTGTTAAAAAGTTTTATTTATTTATTCATATAAGAACTGGGGTATAGACCAGAGGTGCAGGGGGTGAAAGGATTCACCAGAGAGCAGAGTGGACATCAGAACAGTTGGATCTACTAAAATGCACTGCTGAGGGGAGTAGCAGGTAAGACAAAAGACATCTGCTGTGCCATGTGGGTCACCTCCTGGCCAGGAATCAATTCGTGCAGCAGTGGCTGTGGACAGCTTCAGAGCTGTGCTTTAATCAGTTGTGCCACCAGGGAGGGCCCAAAAAGTTTTTTTAATTACTATTGACCTGTTACATATAAGCAGTTATGTTTAAACTAACTTTATCAGTTCACCAAAGAAGTGAAAACTTCTGCCTGTACTTACTAGCAGGCAAAAACATCAGGATGCATGCATATTTGTGTGTAATGTATATGAACTCTTCATTAAAAATCCCCTCTTAACTCCGAATCATTTAGCAGCATTTTAAATATATTACATTAGCTCATTTAATCTCAGTACAATCCTATATTAGATGTTTTAAGCATTATTGCATATATCACGTATATCTATCTGATTCAATATACCTTCTTAATATGTACCATCATTGCAAAATAGATTGCATCCAAAAAGCAAACTCCATGCACACTGTGGACTGGAGACACATCCATGTCATGCTCCTAGAAGTTGACACTGGAATATTAGGTATATATTATTATACTTTACTATATAGATGACACATGTAATTGTTAATGACAAGCTAATAACTAAAAAGTCATAAAGTAAAGATCTAAAAGCAGATTGACTGGACCCAGCATCTATAAATCAGCATCTGGGTTGCATGTCTCTTTGTTCAGGGATCATTTTCCTTCATTATTTCGTTTTATGTGTGCAGGTATTTCTAGCCTTTTTCCACCCACTTAATTTGGCATTAGAAAGGAAAACAATTACTATAGACACACTCTCTCGTTTTTATTTGCCTATGCGTGTGGTGAAAGAGATTGAAAATCTTGTTAGGCAGGCAGTCGTCCTTCATCTGAAATTACATAAATCTGACTGACAGGCACTGAATGTATATGCATATGAAGGCTGTGCAGTTGAGGAGAAAATTCTTACTTTTGCTTTTCTCCCTTTTCTTCTTTTTACTTTCTTAGCTTTATTTCCTTTCTTCTATCCTCTTATTCTTTCTTGTGCTTATCTGTCCTTCAAATTTCTCTTATATTTTAAAGAGGCATGCTAAAATATTTTGAATTTTCAACAGTATTTTCAGTACATATTTTTATTGTGATTAAAATTTACAATTTCAATCATATGTAAGTGTGCAGATCAGTGGTATTAAGTGCAGTTGCATTGTTAGATGGCTATCATCACCATCCTCATTCAGAGCTTCCTCATTGTCCCTGAAATGGTGTACACATTAAAAAACTCCCTTCTACACTCTCTGGCAACCTCCTTTATATTTTTTCTTTCTATGAATTTAACTACTCTAGGTACCTAATATAAATTGAATTATACACTGTGTATGCTTTTATGACTAAGCTATTTCACTTAGTACTTGTCATCTAAGTTCACCCATCCCTACTGTAATATGTGACATAATTTCCTTTAATGCTGTATAATATTCCATTGTACTTGTATGTGAGATCTATGCATATCATACCTTATTTATCCATTCATCTGTTGATACATTTATCCACAATTTTTTTAGTTTCATCTTTTTATTTTTATTGTTTTCTAACTTTATTTAATATTTTAATTGAGGTAATATTATGATACTCCATTAGGTATTGTCACCACTGTGCACCACTGATATCCACAGTGTTTTAATGATATTTTTAAGTTAGGATGATGTGTAAGGGAGAACACTTAACATGACTAGTGGGTTATATAAAATCTGTTCTGTTTTACATAGAACATATTTTTTAAAATGATATAATAGTTTATTTTTACATCATTTTGTAACCCCTGTGGGATTCCCATCACCAAATCACCATGTGCCATTAACAGAGTCCAGTGCACTTCTCCCACCACCACCGTTTTATATCCCATTCTCCATTCTACCACCATAAAATGTCTCTGGTATATAGTTGTTCATTATTATTATTATTTTCTAGCCTGGTTCTTTATACTCCTGCTATGAGTGAAACTATCTGGTGTTTTTCCTTCTCTTTCAGGCTTATTTCACTAAGTATGATCTTTTCCAGCTCCATGCATGTTGCTGCAAAAGGCATGTCAAGCTTAGAACATATTTATAACATGAATATAGTAACAACTAGTGTGATAAATGGGGCTTTCTTAAGATAGTTTTCCTCTGTAATTAATGATACTTACACAAATCAGTTTGTTAGGCTATAATTTTTTAAATTGTTTCTCTTAAAACACATTTCTCATTAATAATTAGCACCAAAGAAAGAAGAAAGTTTTGATCATAGAAGTTGGATTTGTTGTATAGTTTGAGAAAAAAATAAATGCTTTGGATTTACCAAAGTAGTGTAAACACATTATATAACAAACACCTTATTACTTTTGGTATATTTAAGATATGCTTATCTCATGTATCATCATTGAAATTGGTGGATTTTTAACTGCCCTGCATTTGAAAATTTTATCCTTTTGCTAACAAAATGTATGCAATTATATACACATATACATGGCTGCTATTTGTACTGTGTAGCCCTCATTAGAAATGCTGCCTTGAGAGGTAACACTTTCTCAAGTCAGGGGAACATGGTTGGGTGTTAGATGATATCTGGAAGGTGTTTGAGAATGTCTCCATAAATCTAATTCTTTCTATCAAAGTGTGTACATTTTCAGAAGTAGTCATGTCTATTTATTTTGTTCCTATTTTCCATTTTGAATATCAAAGTTCATCTCATAAAGGGATGACAGGAAACAAGTTTGTAAAAGTCTTCAATCCATAAGGTCTCCATTAAACATAAAATCTAGGTCTTCCAAGAGTAATTACGTACCACTCAATGTATGTGAGAATATTGCTGGTTTAACTTGATTCCTAGACAACATCCTCAGGAGCCAGTATTTTAAGGTGCATGTGTCAATTCAAGCCACAGATTATTAATGTAAAATTTTGAATTCAGTCTTCTACCAAATGATGTCAAACAATTTACTAATCTGAAGTCTAAGCACCAATGTAAATGAACAATATCAATTTTAGGTTATTTTTTTTTTCTTAAGAAAGAAACATTCCAGCCTAAAGCCTAATATATCTTCTATGTACCATGTTTTCCTTAGTTCTTTATCCAGAGACTTCAAGTTGTATAAGTCAAAATAGAGTCATTTTACTATCATCTTATTTTGCAAACTCTTTCTTATAAATAACCAAAGATGTCTGCTTTTCTCTAGAACAAATCTCTTACCTATTAAGTTGAAAAAAAAATCAATAAAAGCTTTTTTTTTTTCAGTACACTTTGCTACACAAAACAAACGAGCTATTTCCTTTAAAGAGAATCCCAAATGCAGTCTGCTGTTTGGGGCCCCGGGGGGGCGGGGTTATACCCCCATGGAAAGCTAACCACTTCAAAGTAACCATTTTCCATTCACCATAATCAGTCTGGACATGTACAAAGGATTTCTAGATTTAAACAAAGTGCTTATCTGGGATCATTCCATTTATCTTCCTGCCTGTCACCATTATACCATAGCTAATGTTCTATTTTCAAGTTTATATTTTCAGATAATTTGGTTTCTAAATGATATTTACATTTTGAACATCTCTTAATGAGCTTATTTGACCAGGAGCATAAAACCAATTATGAGTCACACCAGGAGCTCTTTAGCATCGTTGGATGGCTCTTTCAATGTGCACTGGATCAAAGCTTGCTGGGTCATGAACAAGTCACTGATTTGATTTTGTCCCCTCATCTGTGCTCAACCTACCTGCTTTATAAGGGTGAATCACTGAGTCACCTTTATTTGTGGAAGTACAACTGGTCCTAAACATTTTCAGTAATCCAAACCAGAAGATGTTAATGTGCTCTCCTTTAACAGTAAGTTGATTTTTTTTTTTAATCCCAAAGTTAGGTTGATTTTTTTTTTTTTGCATTATTTTAATTTTAAAGCAGACTTGATTTCTTATATCCCACTAATTTCAGGGCATATATCTCTTACTGATTTGAACTTTACAGTAATTTGATTTTATAGTCATAGAACAGTTTTAATACTGAATTTTACAAATTGCCCATGTCCCATAGCCACCACTTAAAAAAAAAAAAGTTCACAAATATAGAGGAAAATAGATAAATTGAACATAACAAGATATATAATCTCAATGCTAATAATCATCACTGCCATAGGACAATGCTGGATTTTGACTTTAGTTCACATTTAAACAGTAGATACTCTGATTTTAGCTGTAATTTATTCTGAATTTACTCTTACTGTTTTCTATTTTTACTTTTCATGAGTATAGCAATGTAGTAACATGTTTATTTTATAGTCTCTTAGATATTTTAAATACCAGTTTTAAGATATCTTATTTTTAATAACGGGCTCTAAAATACAGGTTTATGAAAAGAATTCTTGGCAATGATTTTCTAACAAAAAAGCATCTCTTCCTTAGGAATTGGTGTGCTTATGTACATACCAGATTATCACCTACAGCGATACTAGACAACCAAGATACTTATGTCCCAAGCGGGAGAGGACGCTGTGGCTGGACCAGAGGCTCCTGTGCTCAGAGGTATGTAATGTCTCTTGAAAATAGTTACTTTAGGGCCCTTCTTGGTGGCAAAACGGGTTAGGACGCGGGCTAGCAGCAGCCGCCTCAGTGTGTGTTAGATTCCCAGCTCCAGCTCTGGAGGTGATCCGTGGCACAGCAGACCTCTCCTGACCCACCTGCTGCTCTCCTCAGCAATGTACTTGGTTGATCTGCCTGTTCTGCTACCTACTCTGGTGAAGCCTTTCGCCACCCCTGCACCTCTGGCTTGTACCCCAGACCTGCTATGAATAAATAAATAAATCTTAAAAGAAAAGATAATAGTCACTTCAGGTCATCCTGGTTGTACAGGGGTTAAAGTCTCAGTTCTATCAAGTTATCTGCAGGCATGAGTTTCATCCCTGGCCAGGGAACTGGTCCACGTGGCACAGCAAACCTCTCCTGTCTCCGCCCCAAACCCTCAAGAGTTGTATTTCAGTACATCTTTCTGTTCTGCTCCCCAGGCTCTCTAGTGAATCCTCTCACCACCCTCCCACCCCCGCACCCAGTTCTGTGCAATATATATATATATATATATTTATATATATATATATATATATAAAGAAAAGAAAACAGTTGTTGCTTATACTGAAATCATTCATAGCTTGGAACATATAATCATTCCAGGTAAATATGTAGAGTAAGATTAGGGAGAATCATCTCTCTATGTATGATCTTGAGTAAGCTAAATTAAACTGTGTGTTTGATCTTAAATAAGAATATGAGAGAATGTAGTAATGTGGTTAGCCTAGTGCCTGGTAATATTTATAATCTTTAGTAAATAGTAACCCCCTCATGCTTATTACAGTTTTTTACTATTACATTACCTGATCAACAATACTTTCATTCCTTATGAAATTCATTCACATTTATAGTTTTACTGATGATTTCCATTTCGTACTAGGTCAGAGACAAGTTCATAATTTTGCAAAACAGTAGTCACAATTATGAATAGCAAATCAACTAAATAGGTTTTTTTTGTATCAATTTTAATGACTCATGTTTTTGGTTTTGGTTACTTTTTGAAATATTTATATACACATTTTTTAAATCTTTGTAATTGTCCTAAAATATGGGGCTGATTAATTGATAAATTCCCTGAATTCATACAGTCAGTAGTTCAGGTGGGGGATAACTGAAGAACCAAAATAAAATCTAAAATTTTTATTCAAAACATGCTGGCTAGTTATGTAAATTTCCATAAAAATAATTCACATGATGCATTTGACACATGGGCAGTGGATGAATGCACAGTAAGGATACATAAAATCAAGCTATTTCTTAGCCCCTTGAGGAATAGCAAGGTTCATGGTCCAGAAACCAGAGCAAATCAGGGATTTGAGAGAGCTGAGCTCCAGTTCGACTTTCAGCATTACTCCCTTAGTGACAATTCCCTCGTTCACATGAGCTACAAAGGCTGCATTGTTAATTCTTTAGCACTGAAAATATTGCCACAGTAACCCCTATCAGACTGACATTCTGGGTTCAAGAGAGCTGTAGTTTTAAACAAACCATGAATATAGAGCTGTACTTTATTCTCATCACTTATCTTTTCCTGTCTCTTAATGGGCCTCTCCATTCAGTCACTATTTCAGTGACGCTAATTTTTGGTCCTTTTTCTTTTATTATGTCTTTATTATGTTTGCAAAGTCAGAGCACTGACCCCAATAATAATGTAACTAATGGCTTGTGTTCACCTTAACACATTATAAAGAATCCTGTTCCAAACTTCCCTACCTCCTATTTAAATTTAGATATTTCACTGGAAATGACATGTCTTTGGATAAAGTTATATATGGAATAAAATGACTGACATAAGTACAGATAAATAATTGGCTTAATTTTAGAGATGGAATGATCTTATAACTTATTTTAAGATACATTATTACTGTTTAATTTTATTTTACTTTACTAGTTTAATTTTTAATTGTGGTAGCATTAGGATTCTGTCCATCAGGTATCAATCACCACTGTATGCCAACCATCATCAAATAGCTCATAGTTCACCAGCATGGTGCCCTGTGCTTCCTTCCTTCATGGTTCCTATTCTTGCTGCTTCCCCTTTCCACTTTGGATGCTTCAGGTCCTTAAGTCAGTTTTTGAGGAATAGCAGTTAATATGCCTCTGTGGTTCTTGGCTTGGGTTTTCTATATTACACTTAATAGTGACACTATCTGTTTGTTTTTTTTTTTTTATCTTTCTCCTTTTGTTTAGCATTACTTCTTTCAACTTCATCAATGTTGCTGCAAGTGACATGAGTTTATCTTTTGATTGTTGAGTAGAATATGTATGTGTGTCATATATGTGTGACATCTTCAAAATCCTTCCATCTGATCTTCGGCAGTTAGGCTGATCTGTATCCTGTCGAATGTAAACAGAGTCACGGCTGTTTACAATAGCCTGTATACAGCTATAATGAACATGGGAGTGCAGTTTTCCTTTTGAATTACTGTATTTGTGTTTTTCACATAGATTCCAAGAAGTGGAAATGCTCGGTCATATGGCAGATCCATTTGAAGTTTTTTGAGAAAACTCCACAGTTCTCCATAGCAGTTGAACCAATTTAACATTCCAATCAACAGTATACTAGAGTAACTTTTTCTCTACATCCTCACCAGAATTCATTATCTTTGGACATTTTAATGTGGGTCATTCTCACAGGTGTGAGATGGTATCTCATAGTGGATTTGATTTGCATTTCTCTGACATTAAGTGATCATGAACAATAGGATATGCAAATATAATTTTCCATCGGGGGTGTCTTTTCTCTTTGAGTTTTAGGTTTTTTTTTTTTAAAGATTTACTTATTTATGCATACAAAACTGGGGTACAGGCCAGAGGTGCAGAGGCAGTGAGAGGATTCGCCAGAGAGGGGAGCAGAACAGGAAGATGTACTGAAATACACTGCCGAGGGGAGCAGTGGGTGGGTCAGGGGAGCTCTACCGGGCCATGTGGGTCAGTTCCCTGGTGGGGGGTCAAACTCATGCTGCAGTGGCTTCAGAGAGCTTCATAATGCGGTGCTTTAACTCATTGAGGTGCTTTAACTCATTGGGCCACCAGGGATAGCCTTAGTTTTAGTTTTTTTTTTAATTGTCCAAAAACTGTTTTATGTAGTCTCATTGTTATGTAATTTTTGTTTTGCTTGCTTCTGGAGATGAGTACACAAAGATGCTCTTGATGCATATGTCATGGAATGTTTTGCTTATGTTTTCTCCAATATATATATTTTTTTAAGATTTATTTGTTTATTCATACAGAACTGGGGTACAGGCCAGAGATGCGGAGGGTGAGAGGATTCACCAGAGACAGAGCGGGAAGCAGAACAAGCAGATCAATGAAGTACAATGCTGAGGGGAGCAGCGGGCGGGTCAGGAGAGGTCTGCCGCGCCATGTGGTCACCTCCGGGGCAGGCGGGATTCGAACTCATGCGGTAGTGGCTTAGCTTCTTAGTGCTGTGCTTTAACCCACTGCACCACCAGGGAGGGCCCAGTACCATGCTATTTTAATTATTGTGGCTTTGTAGTATAGTTTGGGATTTGGATGTGTGATACCACCAATCTTCACCTTTTTTTGTAAGGACTGTTTTGTGATCCAGGGTTTTTTGTGGTTCCATGTCAATTATAGTATTTTTTTTTTCCTTTGAAGAATGTCATTGGAATTTTGCTGGGAATTGTGTTGGATTTGTTGAGTAGGATCCCTATTTTAACAATGCTTTTCCAATCCATAAGCATGAAATGTCTTTCCATATTTTTGTGTCTTCTTCCATTTCTCTTAATAGTGTCCTGTAATTTTCTTTATATGAGTTGTTCACCTCTTTTGTTGGGTTCTCTCGTAGGAATTTAATTTTATGTTATAATAGTGAAGGGGCTTTAAAAAAAATGTCTTCCTCTTCTATCTCATTGTTTGCATAAATGAAAGGGACTCATTTTTGTGTACTGATTTTATGTCATGCCACTTTGCTGAAGTAATTTACTGTTTCAATTAGTTTTTCAGTAGAATATTTAGAATTCTTTATGTATATTATCATGTTTTCTGTGAAAAATGATATTTTTACTTCTTTGTAAATTAAGATTCTTTTTATAGCTTTCTCTTATTTAATTGCTCTCTATATTGAATAATAGTGGTTAGAGTGGGCATCTTTGTTTCATACCAGATCTTTGTGGAAAAGCTTTTACGTTTTTCACAATTGATAATGATTTTAAATTTTGGTTTGTCATGTATAGCCTTTATTATGTTAAGGTAGGTAAACTTTACCCCCACATATGGATGTTGTATTTTATCAAATGCTTTATTGACATTTATTGACATGATCATGTAGTTTTTGTTTCTTTTTATGATGTGGTCAATCATGCTGATTGATTTTCTTATGTTGTACCATCCTTATGCCCCTGAAACAAATCTGAACTTTTAATACAATATTGGATTCTGCTTACAAAGATTTTATTGAAGATTTTATGCATTTGTGTTCATTTGGAAAATTGATTGTAGTTTCCTTTTTCTTTGGTTTTGATGTCAGAGTGATGTTGACCTCATTGATTGTGTTTGATAGTATTCTTCTTTCTCCACTTTTAGAATAGTAATTAGTTCTTTGAAGGTTTGCTAAAACTCAATTTTGCAGGCATTGGTCTGGGCTTTTGTTTCAAGCAAGTACATTGATCACTGTTTCAATTTCCCTGCTTTTGGTTAATTTATTCAGGATTTCTTTATTGTCCCTATTCAGTTTCAGATGATTCTGTAGTTTTAAGAATGTGTCCATCATTTCTAGGTTATTGAAATTTTAGCATATAGATGTTCATAGTCATCTTTTATTATCTTCTGAATTTCCCATATATCTTTTGAAAATTCTCCTGTTTTAGTTTCATTAATCCTTTGTACTGTCGTTTTAACTTCTAATTCATTAGTTTCTGTTCTAGCTTTTATTATTTACTTTTTTTCTGTTGGCTTCTAGGTTTGTTCGTACCTCTTTCATTAACTCTTCAAGTGGA